AGCGGACATTCCATGTGGCCACCTTCACCATCTTATTGTTGGGAAGAGCTGGGCGCGTCGCGCGCTGGGACCTGGCGCGTCCGTCGCTGGAGATTCACTGACGCTGGGCAGCGCTGGGGCCTCGGCGTCGGTGGCGTTCTCCTGAGTGGCTGCGTTTTCGGAAGTGGGCGCCTCGTGTGCACCCTCGTCACGAAAGGGGTCATGCGTCGCGCCGGCCGTAGTTGACACACTCGGCTGGTTGGTCGTGGCATCCACGTCGTCATTGGTGGTGAGGTTGATGGTCGCCACTACCAGCGCCTGCATGTCGCTGTTGAGCTGCTGGCTCGGGATGCTGTCCCTTGAGGTGTCGTCGAACGTGAGCGTGGCGAGTTCCACGGCTGCATCGTTGTCCGCGCCAGCGATCGCCAACGCAGTGGTTGTGGCCTCATCAACTGCGAAGCTGTCCTCGTCAGGTTGGATGTGCGGTTGCTTGTGGACCCTGCTGGCCCCAACAGGCGTCAATTGGCTTGCAGAGCGCTTTTGGGCCGAGTGCTGCGGGGTGGACGGGGCCGCTTGGCTGGACGCCGTTTGGTTGGCTTTAGCAGCCGCGGCAGAGGCGGCCGCGGTGGCGCGGGGTGCGGCGGGTTGCGTCGTAGCGGTTTGCGTCGTCCGCGCTGCGGGTTGCGTTGTTGTCGCCGTGGCGCTGGACTTCGAGGTCGAGGCCTGGTTTGTGTCAGAGTCAGTGCAACGGTATGTTAGGGATTGAGTCAATCCCTAACACGGTACGTCGATTGTCAGGCAATGTTCATGAATAAAGGTATATTGACGAATGAACCATTCCCAGTATGGGAGACATGACAAACAACACAAGGTAATGCATGCAAGTAAGTAGGCATGCCAGTGGGGCATGACATTCTGCCCCTTCCAAAAAAAAAGGGTTCTCCAACCGCGAACGAGAGAGCTAACAAAGAAACAAAACAACCGACACAAACGGTACCAGAAATCAAAGCGTAATCACTTCCATCTCCCTCGTTTTTTTTTGTCAAGCGACCACCACCCATCACTTGGGCTTGTTCGGGTGCGCTCGGTGATAAGCGTTCACCATCCGCGCGTTGCCAGGCACAATGTTGTATGCAGGCTCCCAGCTGTCTTCGGAGGCGGGGCGATCTTTCCAACGGATCAAGTACCACAATTCGTCGTCGTCGCGAAACTGCGAGTCGAGAATCCTGCCAACCGGGAAGAACTCGCCATCACTCGTGGACAAGCCAGGGACATTGCGGAGCACACGGTCGGGTAAATCATTGGGACGATACAGCTCCAACAAAGCCACATTGAAGACATCGGCCTTGAGCGAGCTCTCGCCAAGGTCCAAGCGCACAGCATTGTCGTTAATCACCTGGAGGATCTTGAATGGACCAACACGCACAAAATCAAGCTTGGTCACAGGACGGTCGCTCTTGATGTTTCGGCGCAAAATCCACACTTGCTGGCCAATCTCGAACTTGGGCGCTTGCTTGCGCAGACGATCGGCAAACTTGGCATACCGCTCGTTCGCTCGAGTGATGTTTGATGCCAGGGTTGCATGCAATTCCTCCATCTGGGCGCCACGGTTGAGATGAGGCAAAAGAGCTGCACGATTGGCCGCGTCGCCGACATCCATCCGAGGGTGGAAGCCATACGCAGCTTTGAATGGCGACATCTTGATAGCTGTGTGCACAGTGTTGTTGTACACGAACTCGCACGAGGCCAAGTGCTCCACCCACTGCTGGTCGTGCGAAATGTACGCGCGCAGATAAGTTTCAACATTGGCATTGGCTCGCTCAACCAGACCATTGCCAGCGGCATGATACGCGCTGCTCAGCGCCAGCTCCACACCAAGGCCTCGCCAGTAGTCACGCCACGCTTTGGCTGCGAACTGGGGCCCACGGTCACTGAGAATGCGGTCAGGCAGGCCATGATGGCGAACCACATTGTCAAAAAATAAATTTGCAGTTGCTCGCGCTGTAACCGCTTTGACCGAAGGAATCAGGTGAATCATGCGAGTCAGTCGGTCTTTGCAGACCAGGAGCGCATCAAAACCTTGGTCCGGTGGCAAATCAGTGATAAAATCCACCGCCCAGTCACCAAACGGTCGCTTGGGAGCGGGGATTGGCATCAGCAGTCCGTACGGCGCATGCCGCGGGACCTTGACACGTTGGCACATGTCACACGTAGCCACATAGTGAATCACATAGGCACGCAGGCCTGGCCAGGCAAAGTCGCGACGAACCAGCTCAAGCGTTTTCAGCTCGCCGCCATGACCGGCCAACTCTGCATCGTGTCGCATGAAGAGGACAGTGGACCTCAAGCTTTCCGGACGTACAGTCGGCCATCCTTTCGCAGCAGGCCGTCAGCCAAGACGTAGCGCGAGTGTGGGGCCGCAGCCAACAGCGACGCTTGCGCATCCACAGCAGTCTCGAGACGAATTTTCCCAGCCAAGTCGGTTGGAAGCTCGCTCGCACTGTGAGTAGCTGCTGGGGTGTCAGGCGCTGCTACTCCAGCATCGGCGG